AAAAAATTTATCGCGATTTTAATTTACCTTTAATGACGCGCTATTAACGCTTAATTGTTTTTTAATGTGGTTTTTTTTTTTATCAAATTTAATTGTTCTAAAGTTGTAGTGCACGGATTTTACTTTGGTAAAGTTATTTAAAGCTAGTTTCTGATGTCAAAAACGACCTCCAATAGTTTTTTTAATTAATATATTTTATTATATATACGTTTAATTAAGTCGGGGGGTCGGAAATCGCAATAAAAATTTTAATTTTTTAAAAACATTTAAAAATATACGGCCAGCTAGTATTCACCCTACTATAAACCCCTCTCCTCCCGAGACTTCTGAGAATGTCCCGGGAAATCCAACACCAGCTGTTCTCAAGGTCATCCAGCTGTAAACACAATGACTCATCGGTGTCAGATTTCACAGAAAGGAAAGAGAATGGAAAATAAAGTTTGAAGCTTTTTCTTTAAAATTAACGCATTTCTTTCGTTTCTTTTCAGTTTTAAGTATTTTTTATGTTTAATTACATTAACAATTTCTTCAATTAAAAAATCAACTTAAACCATTTTTAATTACTCCAAAAGCTCACATAACATTCTCAGAATAATGGTGTGAATTACAGTTTGCAAAAGTAAGCACTAAAACTATACCCTTGTAAATCTACATTACTTTTTTGAAAAAAAATGCAAACATATTACCTCCCATCAAATGGAAGCAATTGCACTTCTTTCTGCAAGATTATTATTCTACTGTAATTCAACACTATCAGGTCAACATGAATGCTATCTATTCAGTATGGTAAAATTTACATCAGTGTGCCCATCTTTCTCTCAATCACCTAACATTTATAAAATGAATCTAGGTCTATTTAAATAAAGCAGTACCTATCAAACTAGGATCCATCAAAACTCTCAGAAGTCTGAAGCAGAGCATTTAAATGTTTTTATAAACAATTTTCAAACAAATTTATATTTAAATTGAATGCACTAAAAATAAAAAAATTCAAACATACTTAGTGATTTTAATTCTTATACAAACTTAGTGATTTTAATTCTTATGAATTAAAATCACTAAGTTTCTTCAGCACTAAAAAGCATAAGCAGAACTAATAAAAATATTTTACTGTTATAACTTAGTGTCTCTACCAGGGCTGTGGAGTTGCGTAAAAATCTACCGACTCCAACTCTGACTCCGTTTCATATACATAACAAGTTGGTAAGTAAAAGGGACATCGGAGTCGGCGGATTTTTTGATGACTCTGACTCCACAGCCCTGGTCTCTACTGATAATTTCAGTTGTCATGGCTACTATATTAATGTAATTCATATATTTCTGTTAACAAAATGTGTATATGAGAGGAATAAGTTATGTTTGTTAAAACTGTACAAGGGCACTTATTTATAACTAAACTAATGTATATGCTTTGATAATCTATAATCTAATAAAATTATCATTCAGGCAATTATAAAAGTTAACAGTATTTGTTAAAAATCCATTCTTTGTATATAAAATACTTAACTTAAAATTTTTCTGTTACTAGGTAAAAAAAATAATAAAAACAGTGGCCCTGGAAATCAACAAAATAGGAATAGGCAATTTGAAAATGGCATATGCAGTAACTAAAAACGTATCAATTATATTCAATTTCTATAAATTAGCTTTTATGTATGCCAAATACCAAACTTTTATTATTTCAAACTAATTCAGTTAAATTGTACAATTATACATGTTTCACAAAACAAATATAAAAATATATATATATTCAACTGTTTCATGTATTAAGATTCTTTTACTTAAAGTAAAATGAAACAAAAATGCACAATGATTATTCAATTAATTAATTATTTAGAAAAGCATCACTTTTTGTTTTTCTTGCGTGATGACTTCTTTGCAGTAGAAAATGTTAAATCTGGAATAATAAACAAACAAATGAATTTATTTTCAATATAATTAAAAAATTAAAGTTCGAAAAGTGTATATTTAATTCATATAAAATTTTAACTTTAATTAAAGCAGTGTTAAATAATCTACTATTTTATTCTATATTAATTTCATAAATGATAAAAAAAACAACTGTTAAAAAATTAACAGTTTTTAATCTTTTGTAAAATATTTTAAATAACTATCATTCTTTAAATTAATTAATTAATTAAGAAGCAAATATTTTATTTTAGACATAACTCAATTTTTATAATTAATACATATATTTTTATGATCCAAGCCAAAAATGAGAAATTTACTTTTTAATCAGAAAACCATATATAGTATTTTAGGAGAGCAAGTCAAAATAAATTGAGACTGATTTTTTTTTCCTGTTGATAGTACAGGACAAATTCAAAATCTGTATTGATGAAAATAGTAGTTATTGATTTATTTGCCTAAAAAACTGCACAGAAATAGGGTACTCTGTTTGGTTACTAGAACACACAAAGCACACTAGCTGCTATCTATGACAAAATGAAGCACTGAATGGACAGTATACAATGAGAATTATACACACTAAAATTTTGTTTTCCTTTATGAAAAACAGTTATGGAAGATTATGAAATGTTGAGATAGATACTTATTAGTCCTACAGAAACTGCACTTTATAACTACCAACCACTTACTGTATTTGATGGTTATAGAGTTGATAGTTGAGCTTGAGGGTTGATATATAGTGAAGAAGCTCTTCCATAAACCATGGCATTTTGATGGTTCAAGACATTCTATGAAAATTGTAACCTGCCTTTGAAGTAGACTCCAGTGATTGTTAACTGAAGAACTCATTAGTCATCAGAAGACTACTGAATTACTGTCAATGAACTTTCTGATTTGCTGAATGTCACCCATAAGAATGTCCATACAATTCTACATGATCATTTATACATAAAACATGTGTTCTGAATGGTTTCCCCGGTTTTGACACTTGAGCAGAAGCACTTTCAGAATAAGTCCAAAAAGAAGTTGAAACATCTGGTGGCTAATCTGGACAACATATTTCTGAAATTACTTACCATTGATCATGAAACTATACTACATCACTTTGATCCTAAAAATAAACAGGTCAGCAAAGTGTAGAAATAGTCATCACTTTCTTTGATTGCCAAAGAATAATATACCATATATTGCACATACACAAACATTGGACTATTATGTGACCTGGGCTACTAATCCTTGTCTTCTGACACCACTGTGACTAGTGTCAGGTCAATATGGAAACATAGGTCACATGAGCGGTCACATGTGCAGGCTATTGGGCAGATGGAGTGAGAGACAGAGCACTGGAAGTGACTTGTGCAGAGACTAGGATAACAAAACAACCTAGTTTATTTTAAAATAATTTAAAGAAAAATACATGGACCCTGGGGTCTATAGGATAAAGGATATATTTAATTATATCCATGCCTTAACGAGTTCTGAGATAGAATGAGTTTACAAAAAGATGTGCAGTGATAGATACCTGACATAATGGTGGATTTCCATAGGCTGGAGTAACCTCATTGACTGGAGTCAGAAAGTTCGGTGAGTAGGAGACGAGATAGTCCTATGTGGTATTCGGTGACGATGTTAATGCACTCACTAATTCCGCAGGTGATCAAAAAGTTCACTAAGGTAAACGAGAAGGTGGAAGAGCCCAGAGGCGATGTGTGTAGTTAAACTGTGTGATAACTGCATTTTTGGAAGAATGGACGACGACTGCCTCAATTTTTCAGTTCCTTGTTATCTTCAACCGATGAACTTAAGACAACAGGTCGGAAGGTTACAAGAAAGCATCACTTTTGCTGCTGAGAACTCACTGAATAATTAGCTCCCAGGTGTGAAAGTTGACAGTTATCCAACAAAATGGTATTGTTAGGAAGTTATGTTATGATTTAAGTAAGTAAACAGATTACATATGGAGTCTCACAATAATACCTGGTCAGTTCTGTATACCCTGTTGAATCACATCCAGAAAATATGCCAATGGTTGGCAGATGCATCACAACAATGCCTGCCTCACACATTGCTAATATAATGATTGAGTTTTTGAACAAGAAAAACATTTCATGTATTCCACATCCACCATTCACATACAGCCCAGATTTACCATACTTTGACTTTTTCCTATTCTAGGGTTCACATTTGTCCCATTTTTCCTGGGACAGTCCCAGTTTTTGATAAAATGTCCCGGGGTCCTGATTTTTTCCCAAATGTCCCACATTTTACAGGAAATGTAACAATGTATGTATATAGATACAGTATGATATAAATAAAGAGTTATAGCATATTATTACAGAATAAATATTGACTATAAATCAATGCACTCGAGATTTTTGATAATTTTTGTGTTCAACTTTGGTGATTTACTTCTGTTTCATCTGGAACCCTGTCCAGCAGTCTGATCAGATAGACAGTTCATACGTAACAGTTTGAGCATATCATACTACTCATAGAAGATTTGTAGATTGTTATAATTTTTATTGTTTTTCATCTGCATAATGCAGAAATGTACATGCAGTATTAATGATAATATTAGAAGAGAGTTTCCCTTTATTAAAGGTATAGATGAAAGTGTGTAATGTATATTTTGTAACTAAATTTTCCATTTCACTTGGTGGTCAATCAGATATAATCAATCATGTAAAAATGAAAAAACATAAAAGTGCTGTTCAAATGAAAGTTTCCAGCAGCAGTATATGTAATTTCTTAAAATGTGAAAATCTGAAGTGAAATGGATAAACAGTTATCACTGGTAGCACAGGAAGCAACCTTTGCTTATCACACAGCAGTGCATAACCACAACTTTAAGTCCATGGACTGCACAACTGCCATCATAAAATACTTTTCAACAATAAATTCAGATGTTTGCAAACAAACTGCAAGGCAATAATCACTAATGTTATTGTGCCATTTACAATAAAGCAAATCAATGAAGACTTGAAAGAAGTTTGTTTCATATCAGTATTAATTGATGCATCAAACCACTTGGACAAAAAGTTAGTGCCTCTAGTTCTGAGATATCATGCGGTAAAAGGAGTTAAGATGAAGGTGTTATAGATAATTAATTTAGGTGGTAAAATTTCAAAACTGTTATTTTCTTACGTGTTGGAAATGTTAAAAAAGTTTGATCTCCTTGAAAAGGTTATAGCTTTATCAACAGATAATACAGAGACGAACTTTGGTGGAAAGAAGAGAAAGAATAATTTGTACTTCAAAATGCAAGAAAACACTATCAACCATTTAATTGGCATTGGTTGTCCTGGCCATGTGATACATAATGCTGTGCAGCCTGCTGCATATTGCCTACCTGTAGATAGTTAATAGTTAACAAGATTTACCAACATTTCCACATTTATTGTGGAAAAGCTGAAAAACTCCAATTATTTTGTAAATTCACCAATAGAGTATAAAACTGTTTTATGTAACAGCAAGACAAAATGGTTCGCTCTCTTGCCTGCATTCTAGAGAGTTATTAGAGAGGTTGCGGCCGACGTTTTCGTCACGAAAACGTGTATGTCGGACGTTCGGCGCTGCCTTTCCTTAAGCCTAGAAGTTTGACAATGGCGTTTGGAATATCGAGCGCAATTCCACCGACTATCCAAACACCATTGTCAAACTTCTAAGCTTATGGGAAGGCGGCGCCGAACGTCCGACGTACATGTTTTCGTGACTAAAACGTCGGCCGCAACCTCTCTATTGACTTTTTCCCGGCATTAAAGTCATAAAATTGAATATCAAACTCAGATTCTTTTAACCCTGGGGTAATGCAGTGGGATGTTTCGCCACCCCCAATGTTTCAAAAGTTGCACTATTCATAGATTTCGCAAGAAATATTTGTGTCCTCTTCAGTAGCTTCATGATTTTATGTATAAAGCATGCTCAGAAATTACTACAATGCTGCAGAAATTCCAGTAAGAGAAAAACAACAGTTCTCAGTGGGGTGTCCAAACACNTGCATGTGTGAAAAAGATTAAGTGAAAAATGGTGCAATATATTTGCTCATTTTACAAAGCAAGTTATAAATGTTTAGAATCTAAAATGCCTAGTTAGTTTTTGTTTGGCACTCCCAGGATCCAATGCAGCCGTTGAATATACTTTTTCATCAATAAATGTAATGTGGACATACCAAAAAAAAACCACAGACTTAAAATTGAGATGATGAAGGTTTAACCATTTTAAAGACCCATTTTAAGGATTTCTCTTCTGCTGAGTTCAATGTCCATATAATAAATAAAAAAACTCCTTGAACTGGTCCATAAATCTGATAAATATTTTGACGAATCTAAAATATACAACTTAACTATTACGTATTTTTTAAAGCTGCAACTTTTCTAATTAAGTGTGTTTGTGAATATTTTTTTGTAATATAATTGTTTTTGCAAAAATAAATTTCAATTTAAAAAAAGTAAGCCCGAAAAAATGTTGGGGTGGACAAACACCCCACTGCATTAATGCCAAAAAAAAAAACTCAGTGCACTAACGCAGGGTTAAAACATTTAATAAAACATTTAACACCTTATAATGCTGAGAAATATTTATTAAAACACAAACGTTTTCAGCCTAATGGAATAGGTCATCATCAGGTGACAGGCTATTGAACATTACAAATTCAAAATTAAAATGTAAAATAAATTAACCAATTACTATACAAAATAACTATAATAAACAGATTGAAGCCATATTAATATAAATAATAAAATAAGGCAATATAAAACTAAAAACAAAAATAAACCTAAAAGATTAAATGCACAAAAAGATTAAATTCATAAAAATATATATATCAAAAAGCATCTCATTATAAAGGCAAATAGGAACTAAGAATTTGTGTGTTTTAACTTTTCTTTTACAAAGAACTTCCATGCCGAAGCTAAACCATCAGCATCCCTTGCACCGATACAGCCGTCCCTTAATTTACTCTTATAAATTTCAATTTTTTCATATTGCAAA